ATTGACTAGTTGTACTCTCCCTGCATCAGATAGATGCCTTGTACCCCAACTTTAATTCTAACTGCTATCTTATCCATGAGTACCTCATAATCCATTTTAGATATTCTCTTAGCTGATATAGGCACTTCAAAATACCTAAATGGTAGGCTCCCTTTCTGATATCCTGTCATTTCCATCAAATCCTTCTGACTTTAGACTGACATATTGACACTGAAGATGTTTGACTTGATGGCATTTGTAGATAGGCCTGAGGTATTAGAGAATGTTTTCAGTCCCCTCAATAAAAGAAGCATTGATTGGAAATTTCCCTTATAAATAACAGTACATCATCTGCAAAACACAAATGGTTCAATTTCAAACTCTTACACTTAGTGTGGTACCCAAATCCCTCCCGCTGTGCTACTACATTCATTATTCTCATGAAATATTCCATGCATATGACAAATAGCAATAAGGATATTGGGTCTCCTTGCCTAAGTTCCCTTTCCCCTTTTATTTTCCCATACAGTCCTCTATTGATTGTTGTTGTTTACTGCACTGCAGTTATGCACTTCATAATCCATTTGATGAATTGTTGTGGAAATTTTAATGCATGCAACATCTCTGCTACAAACTCCCATTCTACTGTGTCATAGGCTTTCCTTAAGTCTATTTTGATGAGGCACCTACTAGTAGTTTGTTTTCTGTTATAGAGTCTTACCAAATCTTGACAAATTAAGATATTTTGGACAATTGTTCTACCAGCCACAAAAGCACTTTAGTTTGGAGAAATGATTTCTGGTAGAATTTGCTTCAACCTATTTGTTAACATCTTTGACACCACCTTACAAATAGTATTCCAACAATTTATGGGTCTGTAATCAGTAACTATGTCTGCATGATCTGATTTTGGAACTAGTGTCAGCATTGTGCTATTCCATGATTTAAATATATTTCCTGACTTGAAGAATTCCATTACTCCTGCTTCAAAATCTTCCTTAATTATCTCCCAACAATCTTTGAAAAACTGGCTCCCATAGCCATCTAACCCAGGTGTTTTATCCTCTGCTATTTCCCAAAGAGCTTGTTTCATTTTTGCCCTTGTAAATTCTTCCACCAGCATACTTCTTTGTTCATCTAAGACAACAGGACCTTGTTTGACAGTAGGATTGCATACCCTCATTCTGTTTCTAGACTTAGTACCAATCAAAGAAGTGTAATACTCCACAAAAGCTTCAGCGATACCTTCCATATCATTTCTGGTATTCCCTGCCTTATCTTTTATAGTGAATATTTTGTTAGCATTTCTCCTAGTTTTCAGCATACTATGAAAGAATTTGGTATCCATATCCCCTGAATTCAACCAATGGATTTTGCACTTCTGCTTGAGGTATTGATTCCTTGCCAAGTTCCAGTGTAGAAATTGCTTAGCTAGTTGTATCTCTTTATTTATCAGCCTTATATTTAATGGATCTTTCTGCAGCTCCCTTTGACACTCCTCTAATTCTTCCTTTGCCTGTTCAGCTTTGCCTTCTATATCTCTAAATTGAGCTTTATTGATTCCTTATAATGTAGCTTTAAGTCTATTTAGCTTCCCTACCAATTTGTACAGCATTGTTCCTGCACTTCTCCTCTTCCAGTTATTTTCCACTTGTTTATAGAAATCTGTAGCTTGGCTCCACATATTAAAGTATCTATATGTGCTGGCATTTTTTAGGCCCCTTATCCTAGTTAATCATAGTCGGGCATTAATTCATAAGGCCTTCATTACCAAAATGAACCTATGATCTAGGTAATTTGGTTACCCAATCTCTATTTACCAGTACCCTGTCAATTCTGCTATATACCCGATTAGTATCTCCATGTGTGTTGTTCCAAGTAAAGAAGGAACCAAATGATCTGAGCTCCTATAGTGAACATCTTCCTACACACTCCTTGAAATCCTTTATTTCTGAAATTGTGCTTGGGCTTCCTATCCTTTCATCTCTATGCAGGACACAATTGAAATCCCTCATAACTGCCCATGATTCATTGGTTACGCCATGGATTTATTCCAGTTCCTGCCATAATGTTCTTCTTAGAGCTTGATCATTGAACCCATACACTAAAGTTAGCTTAAACTTATGTTGAGTCCCCCTGTGTTCCACCTCACAATACATTATTTGAGCTTATACACCAGTGATATTCACATTAAAAATGTTTGGTTTCGATAGCACCCAGATTCTCCCACCCGGATGATGTGCTAAATTGTGACTAAAAGACCATCTATTACAAAGATTGGCAGAAGCCATATATATTGTTTGTCTCTTAATCTTTGTCTCCAGGAGTCCAAACAAGCCTACTTTAGCATTGTGCAGATACATATTCACCTCTCTCTGCTTATCCTGCCTATTTAGACCCCTCACATTCCAAAATTCCAATTTATCCATTTGTGGGAGGGATTGTAACTCCTCTCCCAGTTCCTGGACCGATCCCTGTTCTCCTTTTTATTCCCTTTTGATGGCTAGTTACAGTCATTAAGCTTTCCTTTCTTTGGTGGATACCTTCTCCATGTGTAGGACCTTTAGACTTGTTGATCCTTTCTGCTGATATTTGATTATCTTCATTTGCAATCTCATCTGCATTATGCTCTTCTAATGATCTTCTAAGGTGGCAAACGAGTTACTCACTGGTGTGATAACTTGTTTCTCTACAACTTGTCTTTGCTTTAGCATATCATTTTGTTCTAGCTTCTCCCATTCTTGTACTGGTTTTGCTATCTGCTCTTTTCCCTTCACTGGCTTCCATTCTTTCTTTGCTTGTTCCACTTGTGGCTTTTATTGTAATCTCCTACACTATTGTTCTATGTGGCCAAATGTCTTACAATGCTCACACATTGTAGGTTTTCACTCATATTCTACTTTTTGTTCAATTATTTGCCCCACTTTATTTTCAAACAACACTAATTCTGGATACGTTTTGCTCAATGGTACCTCTACCATTACCCTTGCATACATGAGCTTCTCTTTCATCATTGTTGCAGTATTTGCCTTCACAGGTTTCTCCACCAACCCAGCTATTTTTGTTAGAGCTGTTTGCCCCCAGTATTTCAGATCTAAATCCACTAATCTGATCCATATAGGCACCTGCTCTACCATTCTATAGTTTATCTCCATTCCAGGTTTCCATGGCTTTACCACTACTGATTTCCTATCAAATATCTGCATTCCCCCTTCAATTGCCTTTGTACGCCCTTCTATGTTGTGAAATCTAACCATAAACACTCTTTTTTTATTTGTGCTACCTTATCCACCCCCAATGTGTATCATATGCGCTTTAAATATCCCTCTACAACTGTTAAAGGAGGATTCGACCCCAGTACAAAGCACACAACTGCGGTTTGCTAGTATTATCTCTTCTTTTACATTTTCCATAGTGATTTTGACATTTGCAGTTGAATTAGTTTCACCTTCTAGATCAAATCCCTCAGCTATTGGTGCACTTCTTACTACCTTACTCCATGATTTCAAATTTGTAGCTAGGGTATGAGATTTACCTATGGATTTCTCCTCTGTTTTAGCCTGTTCTGCCCACGATTGCTTCCTTGTAGACAGTGCTTGATCACTAGTGCCCATTTGCATAGTTAATTGGGTAATTGTCGTCGGTGTCGCCATTGGTGTTACCATTGATGGTCCTACCATAGTTGATTGCTTCAATTCCAGTGGAATTATTCCTTGTAGCACATTTACACTCCTGGTTTTTTTGCGTCTTCAATTTGTGGGATTGCTCTCGTGCCAAAATTCCTCTGTTGATACTCAGTCCCTGCTTTCCCTCTCCCTCCAGTCCGTTGCTTCTTCACCATCCAGCCTTAGCAGAGAGAAGCTTTCATTCTAGAGAGAGAAAGTTCAGATGATAGATTGAAGTAGTACAAAATAATGCTTGTAGTACAAAATCAGTGTAAAATAGAATCATCCTAATTGTGGGGTAATGGGGTAATTTATAGGATAACCTAAGTGTAACTTCCCTTAATAATTCTTCCAACTGTATTGTAGCCATCTATCGTGCTTTAATAAAGAGTCCTAGATATCTCGGAGTCTGTTGGTGCGTGGGATACATTTATCACTACTAATCCTAGGTACGAGTTGCTCCGGAATGGACTTGTCCGGTGATCTGCTCCTCGATCTTCTATATTTGATCTAGAGGACTCCAGCTGACTAGGAACTTCTTGCCACGTGTTGATTCCTATGTTGGCCGCGCGTATGATATATTTTTTACCAGTACAAGGATGTAATTAGTCAATTCTTCTTGTGGTTGATATTGTTCTGCTAATTTTAAAGCCTTTTTATATATCAGGTGGTCTCTCGTATCTATGCTCATGAAAGAGTAATTTCTTTAATTTCTCTATAATTTCTACTAAATTCTTAATGTCTTTTTTAAGATTTCTATTTGTTTTGTAGCACTAGCTACTAATTCAATTGTCTTTACTTTGAGAAAACTTTTAAAACTTATGAACCAAAGCATATCATAAACACATTTCCATGGATATGAAATAAAGAAATTAAGGGTAACAAATTAAATTGCTTCTAAATATATAAATGTATTATTATTTTTAATCCAAATTAAAAAGGAAAGTACACTTCTAAATAATGTATCCATTGCAACCAAATTCAACAGGCAAAAAGAAAGGTAATTGCATGTATTTGTCCAGTCTAAAAGTCCTTGAAAAGACGTGGGCATATTTCCTAGAGGTGATATTGAGATATCGTGGAAAGTGAATAAGAATGAACATTTTTTATTTTATATAGCAAAGAGTTAGGGGGGGAAATAAAATCAACGTATGAAGAAAAGAGTGTGCATACTTCAATCTCTACATATGCGCGTGGAGAAGGCCAACCCAACGAGTAGGGGATAAAGCGTAGCAAATACTTGAGGTTCAGTCTCAATTCCNGGGGGGGGGGAGGGGGAGGGGGAGGATAAAATCATCGTATGAAGAAAAGAGTGTGCATACTTCAATCTCTACATATGCGCGTCGAGAAGGCCAACCCAACGAGTAGGGGATAAAGCGTAGCAAATACTTGAGGTTCAGTCTCAATTCTACTAACTTGCAGTTTACGTTAGCTTTAAGCTTTGGCGCCGGCGTCGTGACCGGTCGTTAACTTTCTCCCCTCACAAGACCTCGTTGACAGTTGAGAGAAGCGCATATATAAGCTCATTTCAAGCAATATAAAGAAAGATGATCACATTTTCTAAGGAAAGATTTATTCTTGGAGTCAACTTATAAGGAAACGAGTTCTGAATCAAGAGATACTTTGAGGGAACAACGATCGATCATGGCTACATCTAGTGGCGGTGTTCCGCCGGGCTTCCGATTCCATCCGACGGACGAAGAGCTTCTTCATTACTACTTGAAGAAGAAAATTTCGTTTCAGAAGTTTGACATGGAAGTTATCAGAGAGGTCGACTTGAATAAGATTGAGCCCTGGGATTTGCAAGGTACAACTTTTCTATTTTATCATTTTACCCTCCTAATACTTATAGTTTAAATTCCAGGACAACTTAGAAACAAATTAAGTGGTGATAGAAAGGATAAGCGACTATGTTTCAAAAATAGAATTAAGCCCTGGCTGAATGGTACAGGGCATAACGAACATGTCTCAGCTCAAATATAGTCTTGACATGTTGGAATTTTGATCCTCCCGTTATTTTGAATGGATTAAGAATCACTTTAGCATAGTCGTCATGGCAGCCCGGTGCACTAAGTTTCTGCTATGCACAGGTCCGGGGAAAGGCCGGACCACAAGGTCATCACAAGATAATATTTTTAGGGGTCGTTTGGTTAGAAAACAAATTATCACATGATTAATTATTCCGGGATTAGTTATCTCATCCTCCTATAGGAATAAAAAACACTACAATCATCGAATAACTAATCCCGGAATTAGTTATACCACGATTTTACCCCAACCATAGTGGGATATACTCAACTCAAATTTAATCTCGAAACTAATTATCCCTTTATCCCTCATACCAAACGAGCCCTTACTTTTCATTTTGGCTTCTTGTATGTTTTTCAGGATCAAAGGCATGAAAATCATATCTTAGGCACACTAATTAGTTTATTGATTTGAAATTTGAGATCAAAGGTGGTTTTTGGTGGAAATTTTCTTGAAGTCTTGCAAAATATTTTCAAATCATGTTTGTTTTATTATCCAAAGAAGTTTTCGCAAAAGTTTTTGAAAAATATATAACTGTTTTCTTGAAGAAATGATTTGATGTATTTTCCAAAGAACATTTATATTTCCACTCACAACGTAACATACTCACAAGTCTACAGAAAACTATATCTATTCAAACAAGTCTTTTCGTGCATAAATTTTTATTTTCGACAAAAAAATTAAAGTACTTTTTCCAAAAGTTGTCCAAATTGTCTAGTAAGCTCAAAATGTTTAATTTTATCTTTCAAATTTCAGTTTGCGTCCATGCAAACTACTACGGTAAGATATATAGTTATTATTAACTCGTTTGCTCCCTGAGGCACCAATATTTTCTATAATCTAGACGAGCTCGTAAGGATTCGGGAGTTATTCTTATACATCGTTCCCTAGTTAGGAAGAAAAGAATTCTCATAGCGAATATTATGTGTTTGTTATTCAAGCAATATTCATGTGTGCAGAGAAGTGCAAGATTGGATCAACTCCACAGAATGAGTGGTACTTTTTCAGCCACAAGGACAGAAAGTATCCGACAGGATCAAGGACAAACCGAGCAACAAATGCAGGGTTTTGGAAGGCCACAGGGAGGGACAAATGCATAAGGAACACCTTCAAGAAGATAGGTATGAGGAAAACCCTAGTTTTCTACAGAGGAAGAGCTCCCCATGGCCAAAAGACTGACTGGATCATGCACGAGTACAGACTTGAAGATGCTGATGACCCTCAAGGAAATCAAAGTGTAAGTCGCTTTCACTTTTTTATTCCCCCCCCCCCCCCCCAACCCAATAAAATACCTAATTATAACTTGGCTAGCGTAATGATATACTTAAAACAAGAGTTTCAAAAGTGTTCTTTAGCTTTCTTAAGCTCCGTACAAGTTAAACTACAACACAAAATTGAAATGAAGGACCATAACTAAGTATATATATTAGTATGTCCTCTCTACCAATTTAAATTTTAAATGATATGATCACATACTTCTATCTTCTAACATAGTTAGAAATTTTAGTTTCAACTCTCACCAAGCCACCGCTCATTGGCAACAAAAAAAACAAAAATAGATTGCGAGCTTAGTCAATTAAAAAGAATCAGATCCGCACTAAAAAGTGTGTCCTCTCTTTGATACTTGTAAATAAGATTATACTAAAACCTCTTCTTAAAGACATTTAAGATGGACTAGGAGAGGGGCAGATGGGCCCGGAAGCGGAGGATGGGAATAGCGCCTTCACATCCTTACCCCTAATTTTTGTTTTTAATAGGTAACAAATAAAAATACAGAAATCTAGAGTACTGGTCAAAGCGTGGGAATCATCTAACGAATTTAAGTCCGGGGGTATGTCAATAAGTCAACTGCATGCATACAATTTTGGAAGCTACATTAGCTGCTCCCTCCCTTCCTCAACAAGTGACTTTTTAGCCTTTGATACACCTTTTAAAAAAATATTAATTTTTAAAATAAAAAAATTTAACTAAATTACCCTTAACTAAAATTTGCATATTGTTAACTTGACACATTGGATATATACATAACGACAAATTTAAAAAATTAAATTTAATTCATTCTTGATTACATAAAAATGACATTTATTTGGGATCGAAATGAAAAGACTAAAAAGTCACGGGAGGGAGTAATAATTTTCTTTTCCTTTCCTTTTTCTTTTAGATAGTTAAAAAAGAGAAAAGCAATGATAACATCTGTCCAGTTGGGCATAATTGACCGTCAGGGGTAAAAACTTTACTGCGATTCAAACCTATAGTAATTCAAACTCAGTACTATATGCAGAGGCGGAATTAAAGTTTTAAGTTTTTGAGTTCGGAATTTTAATGATTTTAAGCTATTGAATTCTAAATAACTTATACTCTCTCCGTTTTAATTTATGTGAACTCATTTGATTGGACACGGTGTTTAAGAAAACATAGAAGACTTTTGAATTTGTGGAGTAAAATGAGACATATATATTTTGTGTGGCTATAAATCATTGCATAAAGGTAAATTGTTTCCAAATAAGGAAAAGAGTCATTCTTTTTGGCACGAACTAAAAAGAAAATAGGTTCACATAAATTGAAACGGAGGAAGTATATATTCAATGAATTTCCTAAGATAAATTCAATGTTCGAACCAAAACTATTGGGTTAGGTCGAAGCCACTCGGGACACTCTAGCTCCGCCCCCGACTATATAAAGATTGAATTGTAACTTTTGTCCCAAAATAGGAAACTAGATTACTTGTAAAAGCCTGGGGTATTCGTCCAATGTAATTGGAATATTTGAAGTCTAACATGTAAATTGCATGCACGCATGTTTAAAAGTCAAAACGATTAAAGTCAGGATCGAAGCTAAGTTGGGTTAAGGGTGGTCAATTTTCGGCGAAAAATTACATAGCATATAGTATAAGTAAAATATTAGGTTTTAGAGATATAAAACATATATTGAACACTATTTGTAAAGGAATTTTTTCTTTTTTTTCAAGTTTGAGTTTCTGACTTCGTCACTAATTAAAATATCTTATCTTCTTATCACAGGGTTAACAGGCAAATAGAAAAGATAACTGGAAAAAACAAAAGCTAATTAACGAGATCCAAACTCGTAATAAAGTCTTGATTTTCAGGGATATCCGATATTCTTTCCTGCTTTCTATACTCCAGAGAATTGATTCATACACATATATTGCACTTTCTATACTCTAGAGAATTGATTGATACACATATATGTTCCTCCCTACCAATTTATGTGATATTCTTTCTTTTTCAGTCAATCAAAATATGAATGACAACTTTCTATATATAGTAAGAATTTAAGTTTGTTTCTTGTAAACGCACATGCAGGATGATGGCTGGGTGATTTGTAGAGTTTTCATGAAGAAACATTTATTCAAAGTTGGAAACGAAGGGAGCGGCGCAGCCTCATCAGATCAACTGAACAGCACATCAAGCCACCAATCTCGCGCCTTCAACAGCCAATATCTACTGCAACAACAACAACAACAGCAGCAGGGCGGCCATAGCCTAAACTATTCCCACATCCCCTTAGCTTTGCCACAATATAATTCTCACCTCCAACTTCAACCTCAAAACATCATTCCTAACAAGCCATTGGGCTACCATGACTTCTCAGCTCTCCCAACTTCTGATCATCAAGCGCCCCTTATGGTGAAGCAATTAATGTCGAGCGCCGACAGCGCCTGCAGCGACCAGAACCTCCCTTATAACCAGCAGGAAGTTGGAAGTAGTTGTAATCATCATCAGAATTTGAATGAATGGGGAATGATTGCCAGTTCCCACGGCCAGCTCGGACACGGACACGGACAGGAGGATGATAATTCAGCCAAAACTGCAGGGGTCAGGTTTGATGATGCAAATGCATCCTCCGTGAATCAAATCAATCAGCTTTCCCTGCGCGGGGAGATGGATTTCTGGGGTTACACTAAATAACAACGCTATATTTCTATCTGGATTCTTAAATGTAAAAGTAGATCTAGTTACTATACTAATATTATTTGCTCGCTCTACCCGTTATTTACATGATTAAAAAAACGGGTAAGTGATAGTCCCAACATTATTTGCATTATAATATGTTACTATCAATATTCTTGAATGTCCACAATTTACTCTACGTGAATTATCAATTTCAAAAATGATTGATATGGTCACGTATTTGTTCCCGCACTATTTGATTTAGGAGAAAAAAAATTGAATTTTCTCCCCAATTCAAGTTTTTGTACCGGATATAGAAAAACTGAACTCCTTTGTAAAAATTTCATAGGGTACCCTATTCGGTCACGCTGTTTTAACTTATACTCACTTTTTAAAAAACTTTTAACTTGTACCCAAATTAGGAGAAATTGTGGGACCCATAAAAGAAATAAAGAAAATGATTGAAAAAGTTACGGAAAGAGAGTGGGCAGCTAGAAAGCCAAGTGTCAAGTGCTTGAGAATCTTTGGGAGCATAGCCTATGCTCATGTGCCACATCAAGGGAGAGGAAAACTTGACGATCGAAGTGCCAAGCATGTGTTTGTTAGCTATGATACGAGTTCAAAAGGCTACAAGCTATACAACCCAAGTAGCGGCAAGATGACGGTGAGTCGTGATGTTGAATTTGATGAAGAATTGGCATGGAATTGGGAAGCTCAAGAAGAAACTTCATATGATTTTCTTCCAAACTTGGATGATGAAGAAGAACTAGAGACCGTAGAACCTGTGCAAGATGCAACTCCACCTCCTTCTCCAACCAATGTTGCATCTCCTTCTTCTTAACAAAGTTTAAATGTAACGACCCGACCGGTCGTTTCGAGAGTTATAGCCCAGTTTTTCCCATTTCTATTTCCTTTTGTGCTTTTCAGCTATATTATGATATATTGGGTTAGTTGGTTCGGGTCCGGAGTAGTTTCGGAGTGAATTGAGATACTTAGTCTCTTATTTAGAACCTTAAGTTGGAAAACTCAACTAGATGTTGACTTATGTATAAATGGTCTCGGGTTTGAATTCTAATGTTTCCATTAGCTTCGTTAAGTAATTTTAAACTTAGAAGCGTGTCCGAAATATGATTTGGAGGTCCGTAGTGGAATTAGGCTTGGATTGGCGAAAGTTGGAAACTTGGCGATTTCGATCGGCAGTGAAAATTTTGATATCGGGGTCGGAATGGATTTCCTAAAATTGGAGTAGGTTCCTGGTATCATTTGTGACGTGTGTGTAAAATTTGAGGTCATTCGGACGTAGTTTGGTAGGTTTCGGTGTCGTTTGCGGAATTTGAAAGTTTAGAAGTTCTTAGGCTTGAATTCGAGGGTAATTTATTGTTTTGATGTTATTTTAAGTGATTCGAAGGCTCGACTAAGTTCGTATGGTGATATATGACTTGTTGGTATGTTTGGTTGAGGTCCCTTGGGGCTCCGGATGATTCCTGATGGCTAACGGGAGGTTTGGAATTTTGAAAGGCAGTTGAACTGCTGCTGCTGGTGTTTTTCCGCACCTGCGGAGCGGGAGCCGCAGGTGCGAGGTCACTGGTGCGCTTGGTGAGCCGCAGATGCGGATATAGAGGACCTGGGCTAGAACTGCAGGTGCACAAGATTGGTCGTATCTACGAGCCCGCAGATGCGAGTCTGAGTCACAGATGCGGAAGTGAGGAGGATTGGCAGTGGCCGCAGGTGCGAGGACTTTTCCGCACCTGCGAGGTGGCAGAAGCGGATAGGGAGCGCAGGTACGGAGAAGGGCACTTAAGTGATTTTCCGCAAATGCGGAGATTTGTGTGCAAAAGCGGTTTTGCAGGTGCGCATTTTGAGCCGCAGGTGCAAAAAACCTAGGCCGAACCTATAGATAGAAGACTTCGCGAATATTTTGTTCATTTCCACCATTTTCAAGTCGGACCTTGGAGCTTTTGGAGTGATTTTTGAAGGGGATTCAAGGGTTTTCACAGAGGTAAGTTGCTTGAGCTCTAATACTCCTAGCTATAGTGTTTTTCCGTTGTTTTCTCATCTAATTAGTGTGATTTAGGAGTGAAAATAGGGGTTAGGGCTTGGGATTTTGGAAAGTGTAATTTGAGGATTTGAGGGACCAAATGATATCGGATTTTGATAAATTTAGTATGGGTAGACTCGTGAGTGAATGTGCTTTCGAGTTTTGTGACTTTTATCAGATTTTGAGATGTGGGCCCGTGGGCCGAGTTTGAGTGAATTTCGGGATTTGCCCTATAAATTGGTATTTTTCTTATGGGATTAATTCCTTTAGCTCATATTGATCGTATTTTATTGCTCATGGCTAGATTCAGGTCATTTGGAGGCCAGTTCGAGAGGAAAGAGCATTTCGGAGTAGGAGTTCTACACTGTTGAGGTAAGTAACAGTTTTAAAACTGGTCTTAAGTGTATGAAACCCGGAGTTTGGTATAATGTGAATGTTTTGAGGTGGCACCCATGCTAGGTGACGGGCGTGTGGGTGTACGCCGTGAGGGATTGAGACTTGGTTCGTCCCAGGAGATTGTGAAGTCTAATAGCCTTTATTTGTGTTTATATGCATTCCTGTCTACTAGAACTTGACTGCCTTTCATGTTAGAAATCACGCTTAGGCTATATTCCTGCTCATGGTAGTTATATTCAGTCATAGTGATTCTTGTACATGTTTACCTCAGTCTCTGTTATTTTTCCGTATGATACTTTAACAATTTGATTTGGGTTGCTTTCCCTTTCTTCATTGAGAGCTATGAGACTAGAGAGGTTCATGACTGAGTAAGGCCGAGGGCCTGTTTGTAAGATATTATACTATAATACGTGAGTTGTCCATGCAGCACGTGAGTTATCCGTACGGATCGAGATACTTATACTATTGCACGTGAGTTGTCCGTGCAGATTATAGCGCTTGGGCTGTAGGAGCCCCTCGTGAGTCTGAACACCTTCAGTGAGCGCAGGAACCTATTGAGCGTGTACATTGAGGGCTGAGAGTTGAGTGTCGAGTTGTTGAGGGTTTGAGTGACAGTGTCTGTGAGGTTTCATCTATTTCACTTTGTTGTTGCAATTAGCTGAAAATTGTCTAGCTGGAATTTGTAATTATACAAGTGATCTTTCACTTATGTTTACTCTTAACTGTGAAAATTATCAACTGAATTGTTCTGTATAGCTCGTCACTACTTCTCGATTCCTTATTTATTTTTGTTACTTGCTGAGTTGGTTGTACTCATACTACACCCTGCACTACATGTGCATATCCAGGTGTGTCTGAGCACGGAGATTGTTAAGTCCAGGCCTATTTGAGTTTCAGAGACTGCAAGGTAGCTTCCAACGTCCGCAGGACCTTGTTAGTCCTTCCACATTTATTTCCATTTTGTTCTGATATTTAGACAATGGCTGTAATAGTTTTAAATACTTAGACGCTCATGACTTGGTGACACCCCGATGTTTGAGGCTCGTTTTTCGCATTTTGTTCCAAATTTGAGTTCAACTTTGATTTTATGAAAATTTCTGATATGGAAAGCTTTACTTTACTTTTATATTTAGTTTGGAAGTATTTTTGGGAA